TTCCACAACAGCTGGAGAGCCACAGGTTGCCCACCTCTGACCTAGGGGGAAGACCCAGCAAAGTATCTACTGCTCCACTCAGAGTTCACAAAGAAGCAATACAAGAACTGCCTATTAATACACCTGCTTAATGCTGCTTGGGCTTGCATACCATCTCTCTGGAAATAGGAGTCTCCCCCATTTCCCTTCATTTGGTTGAAAAGGATTGACGAAATCAATTCAATGCTAAGTATCATGGCTGCAGTTTGTGGCCAGGAAGACTACCGTATTTGCCGGCGTATAAGACGACTTTTTGACCCTTGAAAATCTTCTCAAAAGTCGGGGGTCGTCTTATACGCCGGTACACATGTTTAGAGGGGCTGCGGCATTAAGTACAGGGGTTTGCAGGGGCTGACGTCTCTTACCTGGATCCAGTCCCACGACGATCCGGTCCAGGAAGCGCGGCGTCTCCTTCAGTTCGGCCACTGGATGTTCGTGCGGCTGCTCGGCTCCTCCTCCTCACCTGTGATTGGCCGCCAGAACTGTAGCTCAGGAAAGGCACACAGGCGGCCAATCACCGGCGAGGGGGCGGAGCCGAGCGGCCCCGTGAAAATTGAGTGCCGGAGCAGCAGGTAAGTGTTCTGTGTAGAGGTGCTGCTGCAACCACATATGCTGGCTGCAGCAGCACCATACGAGAACAGGGTCAGCAAGTCTCAGTGGGAGGAATAGTGCCCCATCATTGGTGTCACTGATACCAATGATGGGGCACTATTCCTCCCACTGACACCAACATGGGGCACTATTCCCCCCCCCCCCCCCACTGACACCAATGATGGGGCACTATTCCCCCCCCCCACTGACACCAATGATGGGGCACTATTCCCCCCCCCCACTGACACCAATGATGGGGCACTATTCCCCCCCCCCACTGACACCAATGATGGGGCACTATTCCCCCCCCCCACTGACACCAATGATGGGGCACTATTCCCCCCCCCCACTGACACCAATGATGGGGCACTATTCCCCCCCCCCACTGACACCAATGATGGGGCACTATTCCCCCCCCCCCACTGACACCAATGATGGGGCACTATTCCCCCCCCCCCACTGACACCAATGATGGGGCACTATTCCCCCCCCCCCACTGACACCAATGATGGGGCACTATTCCCCCCCCCCCACTGACACCAATGATGGGGCACTATTCCCCCCCCCCACTGACACCAATGATGGGGCACTATTCCCCCCCCCCCACTGACACCAATGATGGGGCACTATTCCCCCCCCCCCACTGACACCAATGATGGGGCACTATTCCACCCCCCACTGACACCAATGATGGGGCACTATTCCACCCCCCACTGACACCAATGATGGGGCACTATTCCACCCCCCACTGACACCAATGATGGGGCACTATTCCACCCCCCACTGACACCAATGATGGGGCACTATTCCACCCCCCACTGACACCAATGATGGGGCACTATTCCACCCCCCACTGACACCAATGATGGGGCACTATTCCACCCCCCACTGACACCAATGATGGGGCACTATTCCACCCCCCACTGACACCAATGATGATGGGCACTATTCCACCCCCCACTGACACCAATGATGGGGCACTATTCCACCCCCCACTGACACCAATGATGGGGCACTATTCCACCCCCCACTGACACCAATGATGGGGCACTATTCCACCCCCCACTGACACCAATGATGGGGCACTATTCCACCCCCCACTGACACCAATGATGGGGCACTATTCCACCCCCCACTGACACCAATGATGGGGCACTATTCCACCCCCCACTGACACCAATGATGGGGCACTATTCCACCCCCCACTGACACCAATGATGGGGCACTATTCCACCCCCCACTGACACCAATGATGGGGCACTATTCCACCCCCCACTGACACCAATGATGGGGCACTATTCCACCCCCCACTGACACCAATGATGGGGCACTATTCCACCCCCCACTGACACCAATGATGGGGCACTATTCCACCCCCCACTGACACCAATGATGGGGCACTATTCCACCCCCCACTGACACCAATGATGGGGCACTATTCCACCCCCCACTGACACCAATGATGGGGCACTATTCCACCCCCCACTGACACCAATGATGGGGCACTATTCCACCCCCCACTGACACCAATGATGGGGCACTATTCCACCCCCCACTGACACCAATGATGGGGCACTATTCCACCCCCCACTGACACCAATGATGGGGCACTATTCCACCCCCCACTGACACCAATGATGGGGCACTATTCCACCCCCCACTGACACCAATGATGGGGCACTATTCCACCCCCCACTGACACCAATGATGGGGCACTATTCCACCCCCCACTGACACCAATGATGGGGCACTATTCCACCCCCCACTGACACCAATGATGGGGCACTATTCCACCCCCCACTGACACCAATGATGGGGCACTATTCCACCCCCCCCACTGACACCAATGATGGGGCACTGTTCCTGCCACTGATACCAATGATGGGGCACTGTTCCTCCCACTGATACCAATGATGGGGCACTATTCCTGCCACTAATACCAATGATGGGGCACTATTCCTCCCACTGACATCAATGATGGGGCACTATTCCTCCCACTGGTGTGCATTGGAAGAGGGGTAGTCTTATACGGCGAGTATAGCCCAAACACTACATTTTAGCAGGAAAAGTAGGGGGGTCGTCTTATACGCCGGCAAATACGGTAGTTCTGCTGCAGGTGGGTCCACAGGTCCCTTTTTACTTGTTCTAGTGATCAAGCCACTGAATGTGTCAAGGACTCAAAAATCCCTTCCCCCTACCCTTGTACCTCTGGTTTTCATTCTTTACTTTCTTTCTTCGTCCTCTTTTATGTTTCTTTTTCTGTACATGCAGAAAGGGAGCCGATCTCATTTTGTATAGTTATTACCATTTACCATTTGGCCAAGGTTCTCGACTTAATGTTTGATTCAATATAGTTTTGTCGTGACAATTGCATAATTATGCGATTGTGAATGTACTTGGGTCAACTCCTGTGTAGGTGGCATTCCTCTGCTTCTGTATTTAACAAAAATGTATGTTCTAAATAAAGAATGTTAAAGAAAATTGAAAACTGAGAATGTACAGTTTAAGAATGAAAAAATGTCAGGGCCATTTTACCGTTTTGTAGCATTCCCTCTTTTATCAACACTCTGTAAACATCTGGGAAGTGAGGACACCATTGTCTCAGATTGTCAACCAGATTGTTGTACCTTTTCTCGCCTGTTTTGGGATTCTAACAGCTCAAGAGTCCTGGGTCTTCTTTTCATTTTAAGATGCGCCAAATATTTTCAGTTGGTGAAAGCGCCGGACTTCAGGCAGGCCAGTTAAGCTCCCCGACTCTTTAATAATGAGAAGCCATGCTGTTGTCATAGATGCAGTATGCGATTAGCATTGTTCTCCTGAAACCTGCAAGGCCTTCCCTGAAAAAAGATGTCTTCTGGTTGGCAGTATATGCTGCTCTAAAACCTGGATTCAGCATTGATGGTGCCTTTCCAGATGTGCAAGCTGCCAATTCTGTGTGTCCTAACGCGCACCCCACATTCCATCAGAGATGCAAGCTTTTGAACCAAGCGCTGATAAGCCAGAAGGGCCCTCTCCTCTTTGGTCCAGAGGATGCTGCACTCATGGTTGCTAAAATGTAAAATTTTGATTTGGCTGTCCAAAGTGCAGTTTTCCATTTTGCAACAGACCATTTTAAATGTGCTTTGGTCCAGAGAAGACAGCAGTGTTTCTGGATCATATTCAGATATGGCTTCTTTGCATCATAGAGCTTTAATTTGCGCTTTTCGATGACATGGCAATTTTATTTTTTATTTTTTTTCTTAAGTGTTCATTTTCTCAGTGTAGATATTTTTTTGACGTTTTCTATTGTGAATAAAAAATAATGGGTTTGTGAGATTTGCAAATCTATTGCATTCCATTTTTATGTAGATTAGCATCCCAACTATTTTGGAATTGGGGGTGTAGTTATATCTTGAAATAAACTATTACCAGATTGGGTAAAGTGACTTGGAAGTAATTCATGCATCTGTTAGTGAATCTGCAATGATAGAAATAGGTGGTGGTGCTGATACCGACTTGGTTTTCTGGGGCTGTATTATTCATAACCTGTCAGCATTGTCTTGAATGCTTGCTTCTGCCACTAGTTGGAAAACCTGCATTGGGATAGCTGTCCTAGAGTCTCTGTGCAACAGACTTCTAGCATTAAACTGTGCCAAGCTTGCATAGCACTTCTTGGCTGACTGGCCCACTGCTTAATGGATTGGCAATAGCTTGCCAAGTTGTCTCTGAACTGTATACCTGATATCTAGTGATGCACTGATCTATTGGTCGCCCAAAATAGGTTATCTGCGGTTTGCTGCTACAAAAAAAAAACCGTGCCGATTTAATAATTGACTTCAATGCAAAATCGCGTCCCATTGACTTAAATGTAAAAACACCCCCTATTGACTGCAGTGCAGAAACACCTCTATTTAACATTTGAATTTTTATATATTTAATTTTCTTCATTTAAAGTTTTCCAATTTGTGTTACTTTTCAATAAGACTAGACAAGAGGAAAGAAAGGAGCAAAGAGAAAGGAAACAGACACCAACGACAAAAACAAAAAAAAGGGGGGGGGGGCTCCAGGGGGACCGTGGTAGAGAAAAGAAAATATAAAAATAAGCTGGTATATAAATTTTATATCGACGAGGGACTGGTCGAATCTTGACGGTTGAGCTATATCAAGCCAAGGACCCCATCTCTGTAAAAATTTTGTATGGGTGTCTTACAGTATAGCTGTCAACTTTTCGTTGACCATTATAAAGTTTTTTTGTGTTTTTTTTTTGTTTTTACCTTCATGCATGGAGTTATAAACCTTGAGCCTTTAGAACCAAATATCCTCATGACTGTAATAACTTTTTGTTCTTTTTTTTTGTTTGTTTTTTTTTTCTTCCTTCTAGATCTAAAATCATGAATCCTGTCTATAGCCCTGGGTCTTCTGGGGTTCCATATGCAAATGCCAAAGGTATTGGATATCCTGGTAAGTTGTGTTTGCTTCACTTTATTTACTTGTACCATGGGCTGTTCTGCTGCAGGGAAAAGTAAAGCAGGCTGTACATTAAGCAGTGCAGGAAAGATCAGTTTCCCCTATTCATTGTTGGTGGGGGAATCCCTCTCACGGAGTTTGTGTTCTGACAGTGGGAGTTTTCCCTGCTGTCAGAATACAATAATCACTGTCAGCAGTGATCGAATGAAAAAACACCTGACAGGCTGGCTTAAAGCGGAGCTCCACCCAAAAGGGCAAGTTCGGCTTTAAAGACAGGTCCTCAGCTCCCCATTAAGGGTTGGCACCTTGGGGGGGGGGGGGGGGTACCAGAATTTGACAGATACCTGCTCCTACTTCCGCTGTGATCGCCTAGGCGATCAGAAACGGAAGTTGTTCTCCCTCCTTCCCTCCCCGTAGTCTTTTGGGACATGTGACAGGTACCAGAAGACTACGGGACCATTCAGGAAGGGCAGCGCTACTCGCGCATGCGCAGTGGGCACCCGGCTGTGGAGCCACAAGCTGTCACAGCCAGGTGCCCACACTGAATATGCCGGCGCCTGGTACACCAGACCGCTGCTGAAACAGGCTGCAGGGAGGACACTGCAGGTCCGAGGGACAGGTGAGTGGCTGTTTTTTAAAAGTCAGCAGCTACAGTTTTTGTAGCTGCTGACTTATTTTTTGACAGTGTGAGTGGAACTCAGTTTTAACCGAAATGAATCAAGTGATCAACTTCAGCACAACCAGCCTGCCCATACATGAATAAAAATTCAGCCTGTTCCTGAACCAGCTGAATTTTCGATCAGTTTATGACCGACTTAAGAGTTTTGTGTGGGATGGCATCCTTAAGAGCTTTCTGTTGTCTTCTATTGTGGAACCTAAGGAAACTGTACAGGGATGTAGAGTCCAGATGCCTGCAGTGTCTATGCTAGTAAAAGCAGCTGTAGTCACAAAGTCATGGGACTAGTTGCTGGGAGGGTGCATTTTTAGCCGTATTTGAGGCAGGATGCACTGTAGTAATGTACCTGTTTGATCCTGCTTGGTGTAACCCTGTACTCTTCATGAGATATAGAAGACTAAACACGATTGAATATATAGTTGAAGTGCAGCTAGTTGGCTTTGTTCCATCACATAAATCTTGCAGTAACCCATAATCTGTCCACTTGCATTTTGAATCTGCTTGACATAAGTATCCATTTACTTTTATGTACAGGTAAGTTGAATTTGTCCCGATGCCCGGGACATGTAGTTCCAAGGTTCCAGGCAGGTAGTTTTTTTTTTTTTTTTCCTCTCCCCTTTTACCCCTAATCTTTAGCCCTCCTGTGGGCAAGCAGCAGGACTCACCTGTCAGGTAAAAGCATTCTGGCAGCTGCACTACTGCCTGATTGCTTTTACACAGCCCACTACGGTGCCAGCCTCCATCCCCTTCCATTCCTGTAGAGGGGAGGGAGGAGAGCGAACATGTCCGGTCCCCTCCTTGTCCTGACCCGGAAGTGACGTTATGATGTTATCCTTTTCACAGATTTCCTGGCCATTGAGGCTGGGAAAAAATGTAATGGCGTGTGATGTACATTGCATTACATTCAGGGGATATATCCAGGGTCTTTTAGAGTAAATACCTGTTTTTGACAGGTACCCACTCCCATTTCTGGCTCAGTTCGCCACACCGAAGTGTGCCGGAAGTTCGGCCCCCTCCTCCCTTCTGCAGTCTCCAGGGAACTTTCACAGGTCCCAGGAGACTGCCAGACTAGGTTAGGAGGTGCAGGGCGAAGCCGCAAGCTGTCACAGCCTGGTGCCCACAGTTGAGATGCCAGCTACAGTTTTTGTAGCTGCTGACATTTAATAAACACTAAAAATGGCTGGAACTCCACTTTAAGTAAAAAAAAAACTGTGTTTTTTTTAAATGTAAAATTAGTTACACCCAAGCATATAACATCCCCTCAAACAAAAAAAAAAATTTGAGGCCCCCCAACCCCACATATTTGCACGTACAAACATAAAAGCATGCGCTGGGGTGCCTACTCATGAAAATGTTGATTGCGATAGACATGTTGCATATCGCTGCGCATGCCAGAATGAGAGCAATAATTCTAACTCGGGACCACCTCCATAACACTATACTGATGACCTATAAGGGCTTTAAAAGGGTCAGCTATAGAAAATATAGGGTACTGAAGTCTGTTGCCATTTCACGAGTGCACACAAATTCAAGGCTTTACATGTTTGATATCTGTTTAAAAATAGACTAATTTATTGTTTTTTGTTTTTTTTTGTGCCCTAAAATGAACTTGAGTGTATTTTTTACTGACATTTTTCCTTTTTCTAGAGCTTTGCGGTAATATTGTACGACATGAAAAAATGGAACTGCCACTATTTTATTCTCAAGGTCCTCTGCTTTCAGAAAATATGTTTGCGGGTTTTGTGTAATCTTCAGGCTTGAAATGATTTTTTAAAAAGTATGTAAAAATGGCTTTGGCAGCATAAAGGATAAGCCCGACACTCCCCTTTCCTGAGGAGCACCCAATTGGTGCCTATTACACTGCAAGGTCCCTGCCCTCCCTTCTAGTGTCTGGGTGCGGTGCTGGAGACAGGCAGGGAAGGTAGGAGGAGATATACAGCGCAATGTTTAAAAAAAAAAAATTAAATGTTTAAGTCGCTATAAAGCCCCAGACATTCCTGAAAGCACCTCAGATTTAAATGCGGTTTTGGTGAAATTTTTTTTTCATTTAAATCTGAACAAGTAGATTGTCCTGCGGGACAAGTTTTTTTTTTTTTTTAAAAATGTCCACACCCCTGTATATATATGTTATCTTTACACTGAAACCTTAATATTGCCTATAGTAGGCAAAGAAACATACAGAAGTAACAATAGGAATCTTGTCATCATGCCTGTGTTTCCCTGCTATGAAACTCTTCTGTAAGTTACTGAGAAATTAAAAAAATTGCACAAGATAGTGCAGTCCTCCTTAGCCGTCACGCTAAAGCTGGAATATAGGAGTTAGGATGGAGTGTCCACCATGCTTGGGAAAACCTGGGCATTTCCCAGGGATGTGGTGGTGAATCAGGGTTGGTGGTTGAGCACAGGCGCATTGCGTCTTCTATAAAGTTACTTTACCCAGTTTCGGCAAATAAAACTGTTCTAAAGTTTTTTTTTTTTTTTTGTTTTTTTTTGGTTTTTTTTTTTTTTCTTTCCCCTTAAATTAAAAAAACTGTATACTCTGCCCTGTGCAAAGGTATTGCACAGTGCGGCCCTGAACCTCCTGTTCTGGGGTCCCCCGCTGGCACTTATGGCTCCTCCCCATCTCCATTTGCCAACATAGCTAGCCGCTTTCTATGGGGGCACACGTGTGGGCTTGCTACCGAGCCAGACTGTGTGGATCCATAGACATGCAGAGTGCTGCTCGGCCCCGTCCCCTGGTCTCTAGTCATAGGATTTGATCTATGATAAAAGGATAGAAACCCGAGCGCTAGGTAACAAGCCGCTAGCATTAAGGTGAAACCTCAGACCCTTTAGATAAATATGTAATACAGAAATGCAGCACTGAGAACAGATATTAAAAGTGAAAAATATATATAGAAAAGTGTAGGCGCTAAGGAGCGCTTTAACCATTGGCCGCCCGGCGGCGGCAAAAGTGCTTCTGCATTCCGGGTGCACGCCATTTGGCGTGCTCCCGCACATGCTCAGTTCGTGCAACTGCAGAGCAGCGCAGCAGCGCGATCTGTCACCGGCCGTGTACCTCGGACACGGCCGATGACAGATCCGAGTACCGGCTCCCGTTGCTGGTACCATGTGACCTGCTGTGACCAATCACAGCAGGTCACATGACAGTTGTATACAATGGATGGCTTCATTCATGCCATCCATTGTATACTAGTGCCTAGCTGTGAATGGTCACAGCAGGTCACATGCACATGTCATGTGATTAGCTGTGACCAAATCACAGCTAAGCACAAAAAAAAAAAAAACTGAATGAATCGATTGCATTCTGGTAAATGCTTGCTTATAGCAAAGTAATTCTTTGCTATAAGCAAATTGTGTGTAAAAAAAAAAAATACTGATCACTTCCCCAAAGTAGTACAATGTTACTATGGTAACATTGTACTACTTTGGTCATAGTAAAATATGAAAAAAAAAAAATAAAAAAAATGTAATAAAAAATTAAAAATAATAAAAAAAAAAAATATTTTTTTTTTTTTTCATACTGTCACCAGTCAGTGTCCCTGATCACCGCCATGCCAGTTATATGATGACGCTGTACTGCACTGGTGACAGTAGTAAAAAAAAAAAAAATGTGAAAATAATTTTTTAAATTTTTTCATTTTCCGAAAAATTATGACAAAAAAAATACAACTTCAAAAAACTCGCCATTCCTCTTATGAAGTACGTCGAACTGTCTACTCTGCAAAAAGGGGTCATTTGGGGATATCTGTACTGTTCTGACATTCTTGGACCTCAAGAAATTAGATTGGCCGTCAATACTTCAGGATTGATCGATATTCAGATCTATACCATAGTTTGTGAACTCTATAACTTTCCTACAGACTAAAAAAATACATCCTAATTTGGGTTATTTTCACCAAAGACATGTAGTAGAATACATCTCGGCCTAAATTTATGAAGAACAATTATTTATTTGTAAACTTATAACAGAAACCAAGAAAAACGTGTTTTTTTCAAAATTTTTGGTCTTTTTTTTTGTTAATTTAGCAAAAAATAAAAACCCCAGCGGTGATTAAATACCACCAAAACAAAGCTCTAGTTGTGTGAAGAAAATGATAAAATTTTAGTTTGGGTACAATGTTGTATGAGCGCGCAATTGTCATTCAAAGTGTGAGAGCGCTGAAACCTGAAAACTGGCCTGGGCAGGAAGGGTGTAAAATTGCACAGTATTGAAATGGTTAAGTGATACAATATAGTGGTATTGTCTAATTATGACGTATTGATATGGCGAACATAAACATGAAGTGACATTCAGTGATCAATGTATGACATAATCAAGTCCAAATGCAAAAGATGATAAATATAAGTGAAATCTGTGACTCGGTGGCTGGAAGCTTTTGTATAATATTGCACTAACTAGAAACGCAATAAATAAGAGCATTTGTGTATATAAATCCTGTCATGGCCATCTGGATACGAATGGGTGTATTCCGAATCATCTGGCACACGTCAGGTGATCAGCAGACCTCACTCACAGGTTCCTGGAGCATCACGTCCGATGTTGGAGACCAATCCTGGGCATATAGCGGATGTATTTGCGGGACTCCACCTGAGGGGTCGTTGAATAACGAGCAAGAAAAAGAATCTTAGTGGTTCTTAGTACCAGAGACACTGAACACGTGGAATGAATGGCAGGTACTCTGCAGAACGTTCTGCAGGGTACCTGCCGTTCATTCCATGTGTAAGTATTTGGGAAGTGAGGGGCAATACTGCTACTTGGGACATTTTTATACCTTAATGCAGCAAATTCATTAAGGTGAAAAAAAAATGTCTATCCTTTACAATCACTTCAAGATATATGTAACCTTCATTGGCACATTTTAGGGTGAATTTGTCAAACGTGGGCAGTTTAAAAAAAAAAAAAAAAAAAATTTTTGCTATTCGATTCTATTAGAGAGCTGCTGGAATATGGCTGTTGGGGCAATGCGTTCATTTTATATAAATGTTTCTGGACCTAACAAATTGAACACTGTCTTTCTGTACATTTATACATCAGCCTTTTATATATTTTTTTTTTTTTTTTTCAATAATCGCTCGTATTTACTGTAATTTTTTTTTTTTATAACTTACCTCTTCCTCTCCAGTTGGCTTTCCAATGGGATATACTGCTGCAGCTCCTGCTTACTCACCCAGTATGTACACTGGTGCAAATCCTGCCTTCCCGTCAGGTAAGGTGTTTGTTCTTCTCGTTGTACATCTAGATAGTTTTGTAGCCGATTATAAGTCAATTGTGTAAAATCCTCAATCTTTCATATGCACTTCAGCTGTTCAAACAGTGATATTGAACTTGTTATCCATTTACTTCAAATGGTCGCTCAGTTCTCTGGTCAAGTGAAGACTTATATTTATTTTTTATGGATTCACTTTAGATATAATTTGCTTGACGCTCCACAGAACTTCCACCCCTTACAATTACCAGGTTTTAACAAAAACTACCTAAAAGCCCCTTACACGTGCCAATATTCTGTAGTTATGTGACACACTGGTTCCTGAGTTTTTCCTCCCCCTACATCATTCTCTTGGTGAAATGTACACTTCCTATTGGATGTCCTGTGGTGTGGTCCTCCCACACTCCCTAGATGGCAGAGTTCAGTAGGTAGAAGATGGCTGTAGAAGGGAATTAAAAGAATAAAACAAAATTGTAAATGGGTCTAAAAGGCTTCAACCTTGCCCTAAGATGGACTTTAACCCCTTCCCGACTGCCCCATAGCAAAAATATGTACAGTGTGTATATACGTGATTTTACATTTCCAGGTAGGGGGTGTGCGTGAACGAGCCCTACCCACGCCACCATTCGCGGCCGCAGCTGTCAATCACTGGGTTCCGGCCAGTGATTTCTGAGGATCTCCAACGGGGAGGAGAATGTTTTTGTTTACTAATAGTTCTCCTACCAGTCAGCTCGGGCACACTGCTTTGGATGGCTGTGCACATACTTAGTAGTGTCAGTGTGTTTTTTGTTTTTTTTTGCACTGATCACTGTATTGATAGTGACACCAAGTCCGTTTTTTCCCCCCCCCCCCCCCCCCCCAGTGTCAGAATATCCGCTGCAGTCCCGCTATAAGTCGTTGATCACCGCCGATAGTCAAAACAAACAACAATCCCAGTGTATATATACTGCCATTTTGTAAACGCTATAACTTTCATGTAAACCAATTAATTTACACATATTTTTTTCTTTTGTTAGCTAACATATGTAGCAGAATACATTTTAGCCTAAATTAATCACAATTTTTTTTTTTTTTTTTTTTTACTGGGCATGTTTAATAGCAAAAAGTCAAAAATATTGTGTGGTTTTTGTTGGTCGTCCTTTTTTTTTTTTTTTTTTTTTTTTTTTGTTATAGCGCAAAAAATAAACACACAGGCAATCAAATACCAGCAAAAGAAAACTCAATTTGGGGGGGGGGGGGGGGGGGGGGACGTCAATTTCATTTGGGTGCAGCAGTGCATGACCACGCAATTGTCAGTTAAAGTAACGCAGTGCCGTAACGCAAAAAATGGCTTGGTCAGGAAGGGGGGTAAATCCTCAGGAGGGCAAGTGGTTAAAGGGCATATCTGTCAAAAATGGAAGACGGGGTTTGTTACCCCAGTGAATTTTAAATGATGCAATGGACTTTGGCACAGAGCTCATCCCTGACAGGCTGAGATTTCACACACACCTTTCATCACCTGTCTAGGCAAATTCTGCATACATTTCTTTGGACAATCCATGTTATGGCCATTGATGTATAATTCCGTGTCTTGTCCCCTCAGTGTATTTAGCAGACCTGCTAAGCTCTGGCACACTACATCACTGGACCCACTAAGTTTGAGGGTCCTGTACATTCAGAAACCTTTATCCTGTACAAATGTAGAGACAGCATACTTCTGCTCTTCAGCTGTCCAGAATTTGTTGTGGGCCTCGTGGAATAACCAACTAGCTGCCGCTAGAGTACAGGGAGTAGAAGTGCGCTAGTTCCACAGCTTAAAGGCACCTTTGGAACATGTTAAAACTGTATTAAGGGTGTAACATGTTCCAGCTCTTGCCTCCTCTCTCACCTCCTCCTGGTGATCATTCATTCGAAAGGCGGATTGCACTTTTTTGGGAGTCTGTGTATACAATTTGTGGAGCTCTATCTGATTTGGATTGGAAAATGAAACTGTATGTTCTGATGCCTTTTTGGAGCTGCACCACACTGTTTATTTTCATTATAGGTTTACTTTAAAAGCACACGTTTCATCAGTCTGCTCTTTCCTGGGGGAAGCAGTGTTCTCCTGTCATCGGCAGGACACACTGGGGGTTATTTACTAAAACTGGACATTGAAAAAGCTGGTGAAAATGTATAGAAACCAGTCGGCTTCCAGGTTTTATTGTCAAAGCTTAATTGAACACGCTGAAGTTACAAACAAATTGGCTCCCATGCACAGCTGAGTACAACAGTTTCAATAAATCTCTCCCACTTTGTCTGTTTTCACTTAAGTCTGCTTTTCCTGCTCTAGTACCAAGTGAAGGAAAATAGACAATATACTGATGTGTGTCCTGGCTATGACGAGTAGATGGCTGCTCTTCTTACTGTTTAGAGCTGTAGAGAGAGTATTTCATTCATTAGGGCAGAATTTCAATTTTTTTTTTTTTTTCTTTTAACTGAGCTATAAACCGCAAATGTTCTGCACTCCTGTGTGCACAAGCCCAAGAACAACAATGGGCTGCATTTAGATCAGTGTTTAGTGGGAGGGGGGGGAAAAAAAAAATCAACAATCTCTATTGGCCTCACTGGATGCCTAAATAAACACCATGTTTGAAGGTATTCAGGCTTTTTTTTTTTTTTTTTGAGCTGGATAGAGATTTATTAAACATTTACAGTTCAGAAACCATGGCAGAAAGTACATGGGGATGTTGAAGACCAGTCATTGTGCAGTACATACAGCAGACTCTGGTGTTTTAGCTTTCCTGCACAGGAAATGCAGCTGGGAAAGCCACTGAAGGAGGACTGTTTGTTACAATTTCTCATTAACGTTCTATATATTCTTGGATCAGAGGGCACTGGATAAATAGGTAATCTTCATATATGCTGACATTAAAGCCCAGAGATGGGCTTTAAGTGATCTACTAAATTCCTGCCATGAGCTTGGCAGAGTTGAACTGGATCGAGAGCTCATTAAATCGATTGGTTGGAGGGTCTTTTGTTTGTCATTTTTATCCGTCTTGACCAGTTTAGCCATATTGAATGATTATATTGATGTGTGTATGGCCACCGCAGGGCTGATTAGTATTCCCTCCATGACTGTTGAAGCTCAAACACATTTCCTGATATATAGATTACCACTAAAGGAAGCTTTTTTTTAAATCTCTGAAATACAGTAGTTGAGAGATGCAGCAGCAACTCAAATATACCAATCTTATTGAAGTGATTTCCAGGTAGATATTACAATAACTGAGGACATCCGGAAAGGACTGTATAGTTTTTGTTTTTTAGATGTATGAAGCTGTATTTTCTTCATAGGTAATATAAATTTAAGCAATAACTTGATCCTCACCCTTGAATTTTGGATGGGATAAATACTTTAGTTAGACAATGAAAAATGCAAGTAGAGATGCATCAGTAACCAAACTGTATGATTTTATCTAACATTCTTCCAGCAATAAAAGATGAGAAGTTCTGTGCTAATTGTTGTTTTGTTGTTGAAGGATATACGCCAGGAACGCCATACAAAGTATCATGTTCTCCCACAAGCGGGGCTGTGCCACCTTATTCTTCTTCCCCAAATCCCTACCAGACTGCAGTATACCCAGTACGAAGTGCCTATGCTCAGCAAAATCCATATGCACAGGTAATTTTTTTTTTTTTTTTTTTAATATAAGTATTTCTCTAAAGGTATATTTTAATGGAAAAATTCGTTTTTTGTTGCCATTTGATAATTCTATGATGTAATGTGTGAGACTTCACATATTTAATTGTAAAATAGACATCTGCTTTGCCCATACTAAAAACAGGGATTTGTTGCATAGCAGTGTGTATGCTAACCTTCCCTGCTCTTCGCTTGCCTCTTGATCCAACAGCAGAACCCTGAAAAATGCTAGGTATGAGGGAACATGTGACATGCTCAGTGACCCCCCCCCCCCCCCCCCCAGTTCAACTTTATGTGCCAGTCATCAGGCCCCAACCCTGTTGAACAGAGGTAGTCTGAAAAGGCCTATACAGATATGGAATTAAAAAGTAAAAACTTGCTCAGCCATTTCAGGATAGGTGGGCTGCAGCAGCAGGGAACTTACAGAGGTTCTAAAGTCTGAAGGTTTTTTTACCTTAATGCATTTTCTGTGTGCAGCTCCTCAACCCCAAGCCTCTTTATACTTATCTGAGCCCGATCTCAGTCCATTGTTGTGCACAGGAGCTGCAGCTCTCTCCATCCTCATTGGCTCAGAGACAGCAGCAGTAGCCATTGGCTAAGCCAGTGACTAGGAGAATATACAATTCGATAGTAAAGTATGTGGCTGCATTTAGAAATTTTCCATGGTTTTTGTTCATGCAGTTTTTCTTTGTTGGAAACTGTTCACACATAAGGTTTGTCTTTTTGTTTTTATTATCCTTTTACAGCAAGGAACATACTACACACAGCCTCTGTACGCAGCTCCTCCACACGTAATCCATCACACCACTGTTGTGCAACCAAATGGAATGCCTGCAACTATGTATCCTGCACCCCTCCAACCTCCTAGAGGTAGTGGGGTGGCTATGGGGATGGTAGCTGGGACCACCATGGCGATGTCAGGTACTTTTTTTTTGTTTTTTGTTTGTGTTTTTTTTTTATACATATTTCAGTTAAATTTTGTGTTACCTGAGGCAATGTAACAGCCAAGTGTAACCATTTTTTGATTGGGCAGCACGATGGCTAAATGGTTAGCACTTCTGCCTGGCAGTACTAGGGTCGTTGGTTTGAATCCCAACCACGGCTCCATCTGTCTGGAGTTTGCATGTTCTCCCTGTGCCTGCGTAGGTTTCCTCCCACACTCCAAAGACCTGCTGGTAGGTTAATTGGATCCTGTCTAAATTGTCCCTAATATGTGTATGTATGAATGTAAGTTAGGGACCTTAGATTGTATGCCCCTTGAGGGTTAGGGACTGATGTGAATGTACAATATATATGTAAAGCACTGCGTAAAATGACGGTGCTATATAAGTACCTGAAATAAAATAAATTGTGTGTTTGCTCAATCTGACGGTAAAGTAAACCTGTGAAAATTACGTGAGCGACACTAAACATGTGGTGAGATGCCTAAACTGAGGCTGCTGTCAGTGTAAATCACTTGACAAAGCGATCAGTAGATCCAGAGATGTCAGCAGTTAGTTATATGCAAGCCTTTGCTTTTTCTGTAGATGTTTACCCCTCTTGGGGTCTCTATTGGTAAAGTAATAGTGTTTGCATATTTCATTTTGTGCTCCATTTGTAACACCCAGGTTTGTGCCATGCATGTTTTCTGGTGACGCGTGTGTGTGTTTTAGTAGTACATTATGGAGCTATAATATCTGGATGTTGCTTTTATTAATAGAAATATTTTTGTTTTGTAGGTACATTGTTGACCACCCATTCACCCACAGCAGTAGCTCCTCACCAAGTCACAATGCCTGCATACCGGCCTCCAGGGACACCAACTTATAGTTATGTCCCACCACAGTGGTGATTAACCTACCAGTGTAAGTGTATGATATTCTATATAATTAAGTCTTCTGGCACATGTTTGGGATATTGTTATATATGTATGTTTATTTTAGTTCTGGATTTAGGTTTCTTGTTACAATTTTGATTAAAATAAAGCCCCTCAAAGAAATTCTGTGTTGCTAAACCCAGGGCATAGAAATTCAATTTTTTTAAAAAATATAAACTGCCAAATACCTTTTCTCATCAGTAGTATATAGCAATCTTGTGACTATCTGTTTCCGGCCGAGCACTAGTTAAAGTTTGGAGGAGTTTTTTCATTCTCCTCTGATGGTCTTGAGGCTGCATAACCCCCGACCCTGTCTCTGGACAGTGCTGATTGGCCCTGTGCTGATCACATGGACCCTTCCCCAAAAAAAAAAAAAAAACTCTTGCAATACACATAAAACTGAACATGTGCAGAATGCCTTCTGGTGCTCTGGACTATCAGCAGAGGGATTGGAGAAAGGAGGGGAGGATCAGAGAAGACAGGATCAAACACCCTTTTTACAGATTAACCCCTTAGGTTCCACAGTTAGTATAACAAGTATGCTTTACTGCTTATTATTCAGGATTTATATTGCTCAACGCTTTACAATATAACACAGACTGATTTTACTGTTCGGGGTTTGGTAACCCTTTACGAGGACCTGAACTCTGGGAATTGTGCTCAAAAGGTAGATGGAAAATGGCTAGTAACCAGTACTGCGTGTGGTTTCCTTGTAACTGATATTTTCCCAATTACTGAATTATCATGCTGTCTTCTCTGTGTGATGACGGCCATCTTGGCATAGGCAGGGCTTTGCTTCTTCATGTCCGAGCTGCTACCCTGATGACTGACTTGTTCGGTTTTACAGTGGGGGAGAATTGCTAAAACTGGATAGTTCAAAATCTGGTGCAGCTCTGCATAATAACCAATCAGCTTCCAGGGTTTGTTTTTTGTTTTTTTTTTTGTTTTTTTTGTCAAAGCTTAATTGAACAAGCTGAAGTTAGATGCTGATTGGCTCCCAAGCACAGTTGCACCAAATTATGAGTGCTCCAGTTTTAGTAAATCAGATCCTCAGTATGAAGTGAACTCACATTAACTACTTGCCCTCTAGAGGATCCCCCCCCCCCCCCCCCCCCCCCCCTTCCTTCCTGACCAGGCCATTTTTTGCGATACAGTGCTGCGTTACTTTAACTGACATTTGCACGGTCATGCAACGTTGTACATAAATGAAACCTGTCCTTTTTTCCCCACAAATAGAGCTTTCTTTCGGTGGCATTTGATCATTTTTTTTTTTTTTTTTTTTTTTTTGCGCTATAAACAAAAAAGAGACTGACCATTTTGAAAAAAACAATATTTTTGACTTTTAGCTATAAAACATATCCAGTAAAAAAAAATTAAAAAAATAACATTTCTTCATAAATTTAGGCCAAAATGTATTCTGCTGCATGTCTTCACTAAAAAACCCTCCTCATACGTGTAAATTAATTGGTTTACATGAAAGTTATAGCGTCTGCAAATGGCGGTGTATATTCTGTAAGGTTTTTTTTTTTTTTTTTTTTTTTTTTTTTTAAGGCGGCGATTAGCGACTTATTGCAGGACTGCTGCAGGCATTCTGACACTTGGCGGGAACTAACTGCCACTGACATCCCAATGACACCAATACAATGATCAGTGTTAATAAAAAGCACTGATACTGTACTGACACTGGGCAGGAAGGGGTTAACATCTGGGATGATAGGGTTAACAGTGTGCTGTGTTTTACATAGTGTGCTATGTGTATTTTACTATGTAGACAAGCTGCTTTGTATTGCTGACAGGGGAGAGATCTCTGTTGTTTACACACAGACCTCTTCCCTATCAGCTCTGCCGACATTGAGTCCCAGCTGAGAATCAACCCGGTGATTGACATGCCGAGGAGCCAACAGTGGTGTGGGTAGGGAGCACGTGCCCCCTACCTGGAGATGCAAATTGTGCGTGCGTGTGATTTTTTTTTTTTTTTTTTTTTTTTTTTTTTTTCCTATCCCTGTAGCAGTACTTCTGCTATAAGGTGGTTGGGAAGTGGTTAGAGTGTTACTAAACCCACAACAGTAAAATCAGTCTGTATTTGCAGTAAAGCATGCTTGTTATACTCACTGTGAAGCTTAAGGGGTTAATCCTCTGCATTGTGTTTAAAAAAAAAAAAAGCGGTCTGATCCTCCCCTCCTTCCAGTGCCCCCCTCTTAATCTCCTGATAAGACATATTGTGTTGTCACATGCTCAGTTTGGTGTGTATTGCTAGAGAGGTTTTTTGTGTGTGTGGTGGTTTTTATTTTTTTTCCTCTTTCTTGGGAGAGTGCATGTGATCAACACGGGGCCAATCAGCCCTGCCCAGACAGAGGTCAGGGATTCTGTATCCTCCTAAATCGGAATGAAAACTCCTTATACAAGCTTTTACATGTGCTGGCTGGACACTGATAGAAGTCCCAAGACTTCTATATACTGCTGATGAGAAGGTATTTAGCAGTTTAAACTTGATAAAATAATTGTACTTCCATGTTCTGTGTACTGTGGGAGACCAAATATAGTGAATGCAGGGTCCTGGGTTTAGTAACACTTTAAGGTGTAATGTTTTTGCTGTATACAGTCTTTTTTTCCTTTTAAGTGTAGTGTATGTATTTTTGATAGATTAACAAACTTTTTTTTCCTCTTTGCAGGTTTAAAGATGGAAGATATGCAAGCAAGAAAGAGGCTCATTAGTTGGTGCTGAAGCATTCCTGCCTCCAGCAAGAAGTTTCTTCCTTCTGAATTCTCTCAACACTTTGCCTAACACTAATTCAGGATTCGAAGATTTCCATTATTGCATATCTTAACATCTTGGGACTCTAGTGGTTGTCTTAATATGAAAATCCTGTTTTGTGGACAGTCTTGCAATTTTTTTAGCTAATTCTAATGATAAAAAGGGAGTTATAAAGTCGTTTCAATCCATATCTAGTTGAATGCATGTTAAAACACAACCTGAAGCTTGCTCAGTTATTGCAGTGACATATGCAAAAAACATCATATGCAAAATCCAAAGGTTATAGGTAAAGAGATTTGAAGGCCTTTTACCCTTTTGGAAGGCCTCCTGACTTTGAGGCAAGACTAATCACCCAGTGTGTACTTTGAGTGTTGCTCTACCATTTATTTTTTTTATTTTTTTGAAGATTGTTGCTAGTTAAATGGTGCCATGTTTTAAAGAGAAACGTAATCTACTACATCATATAAAATAGTGTATTTCAGAATAATATACCCAGCTTCACACTAGAAATACTCCTTTTTTTTATTTTTTTTTTCCTCTTCATTTTGTGTTAAATAGGAATAGCTGACTCATTTTGATGTGACCAGCTAGCTGTGTGACTAAGAAGATTTCTTGGTGTTAGGATGCAGTGTGTGGCTTTGAACTCTATCAGGCTATATCATTATGGGGTACAATTACTGCCACACAAAAGTTGGCTGCTTTTTAAACGTGTTTAATATGGACTCTGCACTACTTGCAGGTAAAAGAAATGACACATTTAGCATTCCGCTAACACACAAGACCTGCTTCTTATGCGCTCATTCTTTGATTTAAAGAAATTAAGGAGAGAAAAAAAATCTATGCATTAGGAAATGTGAAGAAAAGGAAGTGAAAGGTGGAGATTGGTTCCCCCTTTCAGCTCATACGATACAGTAATTACATTTAAATGATTTTCTTTTCCTTTTTGAAGTTTTAGTTTTATGCTCACTTTGTGCAGAAGTTTTGTTTGCATTCCACAGTAAATAAATATCCTGAACATTCCTAATTCTAGTGTGCATAAATGAGTTACTAATGAGCTTTGTTACAGTGATTTGTACATTTAGATGCCAGAGCATTACCTCTGAGATTAGGGGGGAACTTGGCAGTCCGTAAGTAGTAAAATATAATCAAAATTTCGCCCATTTTGTGTGTTTTTTTTTGTTTCTATGATCTGTAAAGGCTTAAAAGGTCGTGTGTGTTTTTTTTTTTTTTTTTTTTTTTTTTTTTTTGTTTTTGTTTTTTTTTTTTTTTTTTTTTCAAAACAAGCATTTCTGTAGCTTCTATAATTTTTCTGTGCAGGGGCACCTCATTTTCAGGGGGATGAATGCACTTAACATCTGCTTTGGTCCTAATGTATGCATGCTTTCAGTGTTACCTGAAGACAATATTCAGGCAGACTATTGGGTGCATGTTATGGATCATTCTTAAATATGTTGGTTAAAGATTTTCATTTCATCTTTGTTTAGTCTTTGATACTATCCTATGTCAGGTGTATCTGGTAGGCTGGCTGTATGAGCTGTGAGTGGCATTCCACATATTACCTGTGAAACATCTTAGAATTCTGCGTTCTGGCTGGTCAAAACATAACCAACAAACCCCCCCCCCTTTTTTTTTTTTCTTTTTTTTTTTTTCTTTTCATGTTTCGGGTTTCCCCTTTTGCAGCATACACATGCTTTTTAAAATTTGTGGGACTTATGAAATTTCACCTATTACATCTGAAAAAGTATGTCCACATGCAGAATATATAACAATAGGGAGGGAAAGTGTGTGTGTGTGTGTAACAATCTCAAAAGGATTTTAGTATGGGACAGAAATTCTTCTTTTCCTCTGACTCTTTAGAACTTTTTCATGTCTAGCACATGTGCACATACACTTTTTTTTTTTTTTTTTTTTTAATTATAAATTCTGCAAATCATCTGACCACTTTGACACGCATCACGCACTCTCCAATACCCAGCTTGTGGCATTGAGTATATGGATCCATCTCTTTTGTTAGCGACTGTACAGACCTTTCTGGTCATGTTATTCTGCTATCCTCCCCCAGAACAGCGCTGCACCCACCTTCCACCCAGCTAGATACTGCTCTGACTTGGAACTCCTTTTCTTCCACATTTACTAAACGATTGCAATGTCAGATTTTATAGTTGCCATCTTTATTATAAAGCATGGGGTGAGGCAAGTCTAACAAAACAGCACTCTTAAA